ACGCTCTTTCAAGCCACTACATCTCACCACCTTTACAGACTAGACCCCAATGATAGCCTTTGCAGATCTGTGCACATGAATTGTGTTCAACTCCTGACTATTTATCCAGAGAACACTCTGTGTGTAGTGTGCTCACCTGAGGTTTTATAGATGATTTTCCAGAGGAAATCTGGATTTTACAAATTTATCATACTTGCTGGTTTCCTTATTCTATATTTAGCACTTAGATCCTATTGATAACAACCTGGAGGATGAATGCACTCTCTCAACCTTTCTGCTGTTCTCAATCACACTACATTCAAAAAAAAAAGGGCAGAGAAACCAGAGACACACACCAAATCAAGAGGAGTCCTCTCTTCCTTGCTGTGTTGTCACATTTCTGCTTTAGATCTCAATGCATTCAGAGGCAAGGGTATTTACAGCAGATTCCTAAAAGGGCTATTGATTTCTTCATGACACACAGCTGATTTCACAACCTTTGGTACATGAAAAGATTAAGTAAAATTTAACTCTGCAGCAACACTTTTTACAGAGTGTGCTAGTGCACCTCTCGCAAAAAAAAAAAAACAGGTTGAAAATATACACTTCAGGTAAAAACTCTCCTCTGAACTTTCCAAACACAAACTGCATAGAAATTCTGTTATTTGCACTATTTTAGAAAAAACATAGAAATGAGGTGAGTCTAGCAGCAGTAAGCAAGAAAGCTTGACATGACTAACAAACGTCTCAGTGTCACTCTCAGTAATTTTTATGCAGACAGCAGTGTGGAAGAGGCGAGTCACTACGTGTTGCAATTACAATAGTGTGCACGTGGAACAGGTGTCAGAATTCATCGCAGGAAAACTGCATACGGTCTCCTGCAACTACCAAAACAAGAGTTTACTGTTGAAAAAATGACATTATATTTATGACAGACTGCAAAACCTGACAAAAACAAGTGTTTACAATTCAAAGAGCTGCTCTTATTAATATGAGTTACAAACAGCCATGTCTATGAAGAAAGGAAAATTATTTAGCAGGCATGTTGTTTATGATAAACTTTTACTTGTAACCGATGGCAAGGGAGAGAAGGTGTCAACATGTGAGATATCAGACTATGCCCAGAAAGTGTTTTGCCTCCTCACATGCATCTCCTGCCTTCCTCCAGGACAGAGGTGCCCAGCTCAGATGGCAGCTGTCGCGGGGAATCATCCCAAAGGCAGACTTGGCTTATCGTGACACCAACAAGATTTCAAGGTCTTTTGAGCTGCAATGCAAACCAGGAGCTCCCTCACAACCACAGTACATCCAAGATATGGGGTAACTTTCTTCTTACCATGAGGTTGCTGGAAGACACAGAGCCAGGGACTTCCACTGGCTCTGAACAGAAGGTGCTCATGTTTGCAGTAGCTACACGGGTTTTCCTGCATGTTTCCAAGACTGCTGTGATCTGTCCGCCAGGTTTGAGGCCAGCAGCATCCTCAGGGATGCCTCAGATTACCTCTGTAATTTGATGACAAGCATTGGTCTGTCTGTGCAACCACTGAGGTTCATCATTCATATGCAGGGACACTTCGGCTGCTCAGCTTCAACTCAGACCCACACTGGGCAGGTCATGATGTGCTGCTCGCTGTGGACACCCATCCAGTTGGGCTTTACTCTCATCACCTGGCAGAACTCACGGGCAGGGTTGACTTCATTCAGCTAACCGCAATCTGGTTTCTTTTCTGATTTTAAATCTGATTTCTCTTTGTTTCCTTAAGATGTTAACTGAATCTGTACGACCAGCGCATGTGTTTCATGAGCCACAGCATAAACAGGCAGCAACATTTTTACATGAAGTGAAGTAAGAGCTTCTTTTACATAAAGTGGCTCGGTCAGCAGCCCACACTATAAATCAGTAAGTGCAAGAAGTCCACGGTCTTTGATAGCAGCACTTCTCACAACCACCTTTTTATTTATCCTGAGGTCAGATTGGCAATTACAGACAAGAGACTCTGTTTTCCCTTGTAGCTATACCTAACTCTATCCCAGCTTTTCTGGCCTTGCCTGGATTTGCTGCATATCAGTGAGCCTGGGTCAAGACTCAGGTTTGAAAAGTTACGTGATGCTCCATCTGGTTATGTAGATGGTACATCCTGGGTAGTGGCTTCCTACCACTTTCTGCCAGGTTTTTTACCTAGGTGTCTACACCGTGTATCAAAGTGAATACATTCACATTGGCCACTGTCTCTTGGGTTAAGAACTGGTGAGAAGAACTGCTCTTGCTATTGCTGCTCAGAAATCACATCGGCGCCGCCATGGAGCTCGCCACTTAGAAATAACTCTCAAACTTGAAGACAGCTGGATGGGCATGGACATAGCTGCAGAACGTGCAGCCTTCAGTGAGCATGCCTAGGATTTTAAGATGTGTTTGTGCAACTTCGCCAGTCCCAGAAAAGTAGGTGGTGAGGTCAAGAAGACAAAATAAAGAGAAAGACTGAGTTACAAATTCAGATTTCCCACTCTGAATAAGCACAAAACAAGGCCAGTGCATGGGACGTGATGTTCTTTCACACCAAAGATTACTAGAAATAATATTTTCCCTTCTTTAGAGTAGAAGGGCATCAGTGACTTCACCTTTAACAACTCGACCTAATGTTAAAGCACTTCTCATTTCCTACAGCCTTACTAGCAATGAAACAGGATGCAAATAAATTTTGTTCTTCTCAGCAAGACATTAGCCACAACTGGAATGTTTCGTGAGAAGTTAAATAATTATTTGAAGCCAAAAAACCTAAAATGAATGTGGGCAGAAAAACACATCAAAAGAAAAATGACAAAAATACATATAATAAAGTACCATGGAACAAGGTTAGGATACATTTAAAACAAACCCATGTATATTAATGTCCCCAAACAGTTACTCTGGTCACAGAAATGACCCCAACACCATATTGCCGTGCCACCAGGCACTAACGCAGCAGGACAATCCTGTTCTAATGCTTCTGACTCAAATGGGATTACACTCGTGGCCTTTCCATGCTCCTCACAATTTTTCTTGGATGTTCCTATCAGGCTCAGGAGGGTGCTAGACAGCACACTACAACAAAGCACTCAGAGACTGGAAATAACAGCTTGGATTATACATATAATCCACACATACGAGGCTGTTCAGATACAAGCAGTTTTCCTGCCTGTGCAATTCTGCACTTGGAATTTATCCACGTTTTTTCCAGGCTGGCACTGTGAACCTTTCGGAAAGCTCAGTGGAAATTCTCAGGGCTCAGGCATACTGGCAGACTGACTGCTGGACACTACAGAGCAATGCATTCTTTCAAATGTAAATGGACAAAACATGGTCATAAGTGTGAGGGAAATGGGGAAAAAAAAAAAAAGGAAAGAAAAAAAAGAATATGAAAATTTGGGCCTCCTTACCCGTCATACAGTCTTTGTTCTGTGTCAAGGGGTTCTATTTGCTTCCTTCACTGGCACAAACAAAATTATTCCCATTAGCCCCAAGGAGAGGTGACAGCTAGCTACGCAAGCGAGAGATGGATTCTGTTCTGCATCACACAAAATCAACAAAAGAGTCAAATGTGTTCTGGCTCAATAACTGTCTTCAATTATTTTTATTTGCACTAACAGCAATGATGACGTGATAAAAGAAGTTAAATGAATGTGACACTATTACCATGTCAGGTGTTTGGGAGAAGTCCCTGACATGAAGCTGGGGAATTTATTTGGTGAATTTTATTGAAAATATTATAAAAAAACCTGAAATGTCATTTTTGTTGAATTACCTTTCAACAGCCCACTGCCCTAGCTTCTGAAGGGCCCTATCCATTTACTTTAGGGAGATTTAAACAACAGAAAAACATCTTCCTTCAGTAGAGATGCTGACTTCTTGAGACAAGACCAGAGGAACAAAGCGATTACACAGCCTTCCTCCTGTACGTTTGATTTGGCATATGCACTTCACGAGAACTGTTCCAACTTCATAAACTTAATAAATTTTGAATCAGACTAACTGTGACTTGGCAAAACAGCTGAGCTATTTTAATCAAAAAATAATTAAAACATCATCAGCTGAAAAACTTGGCATTTCTCGTCCATTTTGCAAGAACACAGAGGCTGCAAACACACAGACTCATTTAAAAAAATTACATTGCAATTCTCCCATACTTCTGATACTTGTTAAAGGATATTACTGCTAAATTTTTTTGGGGGGTGATCATTTGTCCAGTTACAATTTTGTACAAAAAAAAAATCTTTCAATCTTTATCAAAAAGGACAACAAAGAAGGAATCGGACAAAACATAAATAAAAGCACTAATATTGAAAAGAAAATATTTAATTACAGTAAAAATATTTAAGCTAAAATTAAAATAATTTTAAAATTAAAAATTAAAAGTGCCCATCAATGAAGATTTTTTTTTTTAACTGGAACACTTTTTTCCTGTATAAAATAATATAAATCTAAATCTATCCATGGAACATGTATGTATCTTTGATATCATAGAATCACAGACTGCTTTGGGCTGGAAGGCACCTTTAAAGATCATCTAGTCCAAACTCCCTGCCATGGGCAGGGACACCTTTCACTAGATCAGGTTGCCAAATGATGGAACAAGGATGTATATCATCAGAGGAAGTTATCCAAAGAGAACTAAAGTAATATATTTATTGCACAGTTTTGCTATGCTACACCACTTTAGGAAAAAAAAAAAATAAAAGGAAAAAAGCATTCCTTTGCTATTTTCCAGTGATACAAATACAAACCAAAGCTGTCAGGACTCAAAGTGGCTGGAATGATAGATAATGATTTCACCTTGCATCTGAAGCCAGTGGAAGGTCTGACACCAATTGCAGGTGAAGAACCAGAGCTTTATCACTGGAGTTACAGTGACCCCTACACTACATCTAAGCAATGACATGTGCCAATCAATCACCTGCACATTCACTGCAGGTATCATGCAACCCTCCTTTCTTGTTCAGCAATAAAAAGCAACAGCAGAGAAGCCAATCATTTGATATCTCACCTCGCTATCTTGTCACTGCAGGACATGGTAAGCAGCCTTTCTCCTTGCAACACGCCGTCCCATGTTTGGATAGTGGTAGTAGAGCGCACAGGGATGGTCCCTTCCCCAGATTCTATTTTTGTCCGTAGCTGTCCTCTCGCTTTGCGGTTTGGATGCCTGTCCCCTTGATCTAAATGACAAAAATTGCTGACAATCAGCTGAGAAACGTTCTCAAAGTGTTCTACAGGTAGCATTACAACAAGAAGAGTTGATTAAAGGTATTTGTCTGCACAACTGCTGGCTTGCATAACAATTTCTATTGCTCCTTGCAAATTAGCTGCAGCATCAGACATCTCTCACAAATACTGCCTTCTAAAAAACACTTGCAATTAAACCAAGCTTTCCATGAAGGAGCAGCACACAGCTGGTAGGTAGCTCTTCAATTCTGTTCTGCATATTACAGCATTAGAATTAAGCTAATGGACACATAGAGAAGGGCAGGCAGACAACCACCCTTAGAAGATGGAAACAGTGAAACAGTTTGGTTAGTTCTGTACAAAGACTTGCTTATCTTGGCTAGCACTCAGCCTCTTCAAGAACACAGGGTGGATCAGTCTATACTTAACTTCTATCGCAGAGGAAGAACAGCTCGGATTTTTTTTTGAGAGATTTTTGTCTTAACGCACATCTACACTAAAAGGAAAAAAAACACCTAAATATTAACTGCCACTTATACACGCTCAAATAGCACTTTGAACTGCCTTGCTTGAGTGGGATCGCTGCCGTACCCTCTTGTGCTGCTTCGTGGGGTGAGAAAATCCGAGCGTCGCCACAAGGAGAGGTGCTGATATAGAGATGGAACTGCACATTCTCCTTCAGCTTAAAGCCGCCTCGCTCCGATTTGACAAAAATGGATTTTTGTTGATCTTCTTTATTGCTGGAACAGAAAATAAAGCTAGAGTCAAAACTGACATTAACACATAAATAACTACAAGCTGGGCAGTCTTAATAGGTATTAAAACAAACACAGGATATCTGGAAATTTTATAGTATAAATCTAACAGTTACTATAAACAACTAAATTAAAAGACCATCAAGGCAAGAAATAAAGAGCTCTTGATGTGCCGAGAAGTCAAGAGCTTTCAGGCACTTACCAGCAAATGAAACTTCGCCATCCTTTAGCCCACTTGAGATTATTTTTGTTTACATGTTTACAGTTTACAAAATGCTTCCCAATTGTTTTTTCTGTCCTCCCCTCTCATGACTGACACCTAACTAAATACATGTTTTGTTAAAGACAAACTTCAGGGCAAAGGGCCTCAGCTCTCAATTAAACATCCTAATGCAACAGGGCAAGTGTTCCCCATGGAAATAATTCAGACACATGTTTTACGCAGACACCTTTTCCGCTCTGTGTGATCAGCTTATCTTCCTTTTCCCTCCAACTCACCTTAGATAAAGCTCAAGTTGTGTATACAGAAATTTAAGCAGGCACCGGCGAGATATAATTTCTGCATGGCAATCATTTAATGCAAGACCACGATCACTCATGTATTCACCATTGATGCATTTTGTTCCTGTAGAAACACTTATTACCAGGGCATCTTTCACATCCGTACCTGCAAACACAAAATTTCAGGAGGAAGATGCAATTAAAATCACAAATAATCGAGCAAGTGATCTTCTTGCAGAACCCAAACAAGGCTCCTTTTTTTAGTTTGTTTGCTTCCTTTTTTTTATTTTTTTAAAAAAAGCCTTTTCGTCTAATACTTTCTGTAAAGTAAAAGCTTCATCCAGCCATACCCTCCCTGTACCAGTATGGTCTATGGTTCTTATGAGTTCTTCATATTGGAGTTTAGACAAGTTCCAAATTAAAAACCTGCAGGGAAAAATTACTGCTTCAGGAAAAGTTGTTAAAGCCCGAGCTGCAAAGACAGTGCTTTTTTCCTGAGCCTCAGGCAGCCAGCTAGCTTCCAGCATGTACCTTTCGGCCACCTATGCGGATATTCGCAGTGACTTCAGAAATCTGAAAGGCACTGATTTTTTAAAACAACAACAACACATTATGGAAGGGTATTAAGCCAACAACAGGAAAGGTAAGACAAGGGAATGAAGAAGTTTAAATACTTAAACCACTGTAAAGCTTATCAGCAGTATGACACTTCTAAAAGTGCAGTTCTTGGTATTAAATAATTCCATACGGTAGAATTAAAAAAATATTTCGGGTGTTTTCTATACAGAGAACTGTCTTTATCACACCAAAAAAATAAAGGTCAGCTGCATGAAGAATTCTGAAGGACAAGTCAAAATGTTACATCCCTCAAGCTAAGCACTCAGCAAAAAACGCCCCAACAAGCCGCATCAATTCCTCTGCAGCTCTCAAGGCCTCACCAGCAGAGGCAGAAAGCAGCCAAGTCTTGCCAAATGCCTGCTGCTCTCTCCATCCCAAAGAAAAGTTATTACAGTATGAAAAAGCAGAAAAAGGGCTTTCTACACACCCCAAGCAGCTACAGTTCAGGATCCTCCCATAACCACCTGGCTGCACGACAGCAGTGCTGATATAGGGCACCTAGCTAATAATTAGCGAGGAAATTGGTAACTGAAAAGGTAATTGAGATGTGGTCTGTTTAAGCTCTCACTCCTGATGAAATATATGGCCTTAAAAAAATGAGCCTGAGCCCAGCTGCCCCCTCCTGCCCACAGGGCCAGAGGAGAAGCCCATGGAGGAGACACTGGGAGCCACTTCACTCTGCAACACAAGGCTGCACAATGGGGTCCTCTAATTCCCGGTGTTTCCCAGAGAAGTATCCATGTAAATATGGTTTCTAGTTCTGTGTAAAGCTGTTATTTCAGTCAATCAGAATGTATTCGCATGTTAATTAAGTCTTAATTCTTGGGCTCTTCTGGGAATTATGGACACAGGACTGTAATTACAATAAAAACTGGTTAAATACCACAAAATATATTAAATCAAGCTACAGCATGTTCCTCACAGTGCTTTGCATTTGGGGCAAAAACGGTGTTGGTACCACACCAATGTCTTGGCTGTTGCTGAGCAGCGCTTGAGGAGCATCAAGGCTTTCTCTCCAAAACTCTCAAAGGCAGGTGTCAGCTGCCAAAACATAAGCTGCTTTCTCCGGGTAGTTTTACTAAGATGATGGAGATACAAAGCACTAAGAATAAAGTATAGCAAGAAAAACTCAACAAAAGTGCAAAACCTTAAAAACTTGGAAAGCAAGCATAATTTCTTATATAATACACCAAAACCCAAGAATGCCATCTGTGTGACCGACGCAGTCATTTATTTTAGGTTTACTTTCAAAAAGTTGCACAGCTCATTTTAAAAGGTATATGTATTTTGTAGACCATGAGTTATCTCAGGAGTCTCAATCTGGCAGAAGACAGGAACTGTTGGAAACAGAGGTATTTGCAGGTCTAATTTTCCTGTAATTATCTTTAGCCAAGATTGCTATATTTAGCACACCTTGAAGATTAATTAGTAAAAAACATATTTCAATACTGGTTGACTGAAAAAAGTAATTCCTGGAATGCAAACAGCGCTCTCATATTCAAGCAGTTAAAACAGTACTTTTTTTACTTTATTTTACCTGTTGTCATGACAATTCCAGCAAGGACTTTTCTACGTGCATGTGGAGACGTAAAATTTTCCGTCAAATCGCTGAATTTATCTACAACCAAGCGAGCGACAGCATCAGCTAAAACCTGTAGGATCACACAGAAATGCACATTAGAAAATTCAACAATTAAAAACTTTCTAAATTGCAGCAGCATTAGGTTATAAAGATTTGCACTTTCAAATGATTTGATACAATAAATTAAATGAGCGGACACTGAGGCATCAGCAGTATATGAAGGAGGTGGCTGGGTCCAATTTTCAGGCACATGGAACACTCGCAGCTCTTTGCAAGTGGACGCAGAGCTCCGTGTGCTCCGTGTCTGCTCAAACAGGGTCAGAGAGCCCTAAGCCACACATCGAAGTACCTAATGCTCATGATCGTTATGAACATTTGAGGCTTAGGAGAACAACTGGATAGACAGATAAGCCTATGCTTTCATGCTTAAACCTCAAAACACATCATTTCAGGATCCTCAACATTAGACCTGACAAGAAGATTGAAGTGCAAAAACCAGGCTCCTCAAACCAACGTGTAAACCTTTTATAACAATCGCTATTACGTAAGAACGAATCTGTTTTCAAGACCGGTTAAATACTTTCTATTTTTTATTTTTACAAGACACATACCAATTCAGGAACAGAAAATGTCAGATAACCCAAAATAAACTATCTCAACCTTAGGAAGGATTTCCCTCTTTCACCTTCGGGAAAACCTGAACAATGACAATCACAGCCACTGGTTGTATCTTGCCAGTAGGGTTAGCAAGCAATGTCAGTCAGACTGTAAGAGGGACTAAATTCTAATTTTAAGGAAAACTTCACAATACCAGTTCTGCTCCTGTTGAACAACGGCACAGTTCAACACTGCAGCTAATCTCACCTGCTGTTTTTAAGGCAGCTGGCACCATAACAGCTAGAGGAGATGAGTCAAGATCAAATTCTTGAATTTTCACCTGAGAAGAAGCTGAATCCCAGGACAATCTATGCAACAGCATTGCTAGCAGAGCTGGTGGTTCCAAAAGGGGCAGCTGAGAAAGGCAAGTTACGTGTTAGATGGCATGACAAGCGGTCACCAGGCTGGCAGGAGAGACAGGGCAGCCAGTCCCCACTCATATTCCACCAGCACCAGGACCAGCAGCTGGAAAGGAGTACCGGACAAGCCCAGAGGGAGCTCAGGTCCCTATCTCAGAGAGCCAGGTGCAAAGAGCTTGATCCAGTTGTCCATGTGTTGGCACCCAGCAGTATCTGAGATGTTCTGGAGTAACCCTGGCCCACAGGTTGACACACCAGAAGGACACAGGTCCTGCATCGCACCAGCCAGCGCCATGCGAATGTCTTAGATACCCAAGAGCATCCAATGTAGTGCTAAACACACATGTAAGCAACTACATCGAGCCAAAAACACCACTTGCCGCTGAGTCTTCTGCTTACAAACTGTCCTTGGGCTCTCAGTAACGGAAGATGATCACCACTCTCACCCCTCCAGAGGGCCCAAGGCAAATGGACAGGGCAGCAGTGTATGGAGCTTGGGGACACTCACTTGGAACAGTACAAACTCTTGAATGCAATCAGTTCTAAAACCAGACTGTCAGAGTCAAAAGAAAAGAAAGAAAAAGAGGGTTTGAAGACTGCCAGTCTGATTCACCATCATTTTCTTAACAAGACTCATGAGAACCAACAGCCTAGAAATAACATGGAGGAGCTCTCAATGTTAACCTCCTTCTGGAAAAGCTCCAGCAGCCAAGGAAGCAATGATTAAACCTCATCTGTCACCATTTCAGAGCTTGACAGCTTTTTCCAGAACCTGACTGGAGACAGCGACCAACAATCAGTGGTGACTGGGGTCACATCTGCACCAAGCTGTGGTCAATGTTTTGCAATTGCACAACTTGTAGAGTCAGAAGACTCTCAACATGGCAAATACCAATGTTCTCGACGCATTTGAATGGACTACAACTTAGAAACTCTTATCTACAGATTGAGAATTTTTTCAGGAACGCAGTTTTGCTCCGAAGCTATGAGCATGTCTGGTCAGGAACTGATTTTCCAATAAGGTCTTTTTGTCACTGGACCCAAAATTATGTTACAATCTGTGCTCTGACAGCACCATGACCACACAGCACAAAACCTGCATTTAATTGTTCTAGTACTTACCCAATGCAGAAAGCTGAACTTCAAGGTAAATACACAAAAGAAAAATAATGAGCAACAGTTTTGTTATCACCCTGGTTTTAGAAATGGAAAATTAATACACAACAGGCTTAAATGACTAACATTCCTGCAGCCACGCAGGCAGACACTGCATGGACAAGAAATGGAGTCCTCATTCCAGTGTTTTATCCATAGCCCCACTGCATAATTATGGTCACTGCTTCCCAGCTGCAAATTATATGCTCTCATTTCTGTAATGCATATATTTTTTCTGCTCTATCTTAAAGCATGACAAGATGGACAGGAGAACACGGCTGGCAACTGACAAGCTACCAGGCAATGTAAAATTGTGCGGAATGACATTGTGATGGAATATACTATTGCAGAACTAGTGAAACAAACTTTTCCAAATAGAGATGAACATGATCCACAAAGAGAGGCTTCAAAGCCTGCCAGAAAGGCTTGCTATCTATTGTAATAAACAATATGGGTCTCTTTTCCTCTGAAAAAAAGTAAGCAGAATGACTGGTAACTGGAGGAGTCTTCTCCAATGCTGCACTACACAAAAACCCAAAGTGCAACACCTATCAGAAATGGTGATTCCAAAATGCTGAACCAAAATCGACTGGTTGCTAAGGGTGAACATAGAGGAAGACTTCTTCCAGGACCACTCCACGCAGGTAACTCACTACACAGATCCTCAACCTACCCAGTGAAATGGAGGCTGATCTACACAGGCGTGCCATCACTCATTCCCTGGGGGAACTAAGGCTGGCTTGAGCCGGTTCTCATCAAGAGTTGGGAACTGAAACTGCCAGGCATTTCTGGGAAGAAACCCATGGCCAACTTACCTGCCAATACTCCTGACAAAAGGGCTGCTACAACAGCAACTGGGTAGGATGCTTGTATACAGGGTGGATACATTAGCTTTTTCCAAAAAGATTTTTTTTCGCATAATAAGCAAAGCAGAGGAAACTGTGGTGTTGGTATACAAGTGAGAACATGGTGAGTCCCTCTGGGAAGATGTAAGCTGGCACAGAAAGATGGGATGGGGCTGCATCTCCAACAGTGTGGAAATAAGCTGCTGGCAAACGCTTGAATGAACATGAAGCCAGACACTGGGGAGGGCTGATAAGAAGGACTAAACAGAATTCAAGCGAGACAAAGTGACTGCTAGAGATGCAAATACAGGAGGAACTGTAGGGAAGGGGGGAAAAATCACTGGCAGAAAACAGGCAGATATATTAAAGATTGTTTTATTGTATTTGATATCCAAGTTGCATGACAACAGGTGAGTGATGAGGAATAAACACTATTAAATGTCTACAGATTTAGTTACTTAGGTTTTGTTCTTTTAAAAGAATACTCATCTGACAAATTAGAAGAATCATCCTTTTCTCCCAGGTGGTCTATTACATTAACATAGTTAAGAGTCACTAAGACCATGGAAGAGATGGGAATAAGGCAGGCTATGAATAGACCATTGCGGCACTGGGAACAAGATTTACTGGCCTAAAATGATGTCCTTGCTGTCCCCATCTCAAAACCAAGGACTCGAATTTGTATCCACATCAAGCCCAGGCCACTGACCAGCCTGGGTAGGGATCTTTCACTTCTTGTCCCGACTCTACTCCCTTTCATATAAATAAACATTAATTGGAACAGAAATTGAACTTGCGTCTCACCTTCCCAGTGAGTGCCCTAACATCTGACACATGGTTTCTCCACCCCTGCTCCTGCATGAAATCATTATTCAAAGTTGGGTAATTCAGAAAAGGAAAGACCTAAAATAGCTGACAGTTTGCTTGTTACGGCATGCGAGCTCAAAGCTGCACTGGGTGCGTTGTTCCTTTCTCGGATGAAGTTACAGTGAATTCACTTCTTTTCGACACGTACAGACCAATTTTGGTTAATACATACCTTGCAGCAACATAGCAGAACCCCCTTGACCGTCCACGTTTTAAAATGTTCTGAGCTGATGAAGTTCAGGTCTGTCCAGACCTAAAGGAAGACCTCGGCAGGTGACAGAGACCACCCAGATGAATGCTGGTGAGCACCCACACGGTGGAGGGGCACTGTGTGGACTGACAGCACCCAGCTCTCACCGGGGACCTGACCCAAGACCTCCCAATCTTCTGTGCTCTCCTTGGACCTCCAGCAATCCTTCTCAAGCACAAATGTTCTCCCTCAGCTCTGTTTCTTCTTATCTTCACAGTTTATGGATTATGTGGACTTTCACAAGCTGATGGGCAGTGGCAGTGTATACAGTAGGTAAAATCAAGATCCATTCTCTCTCCTCCAACAGTGACCAGCACATACAATTCAGAGCAGGTGCAAACGTTCTACGCTAATAAAACCAAGTAATTATTTTCTAGTGCTCCAAAGTTTCCTGTATTTATTTAAAGGAACTGCTACCTGGCAGTAGATTCTCTCCCTGCTTATGCAAATGTATCTTTTACATTTCTGCCAATTCCACAAAAATTATTCCAACATATTACTCATTAATTCCCATAAACACATTCGGGATTACCTTTTTGCTAGGTCTGAATCTGTTACGCTCTCTTTCTCCTGGATACACTACGCAGCCTACTGCAATAAACTGCCTAGAGCTTTTCAGTATCTCTGCAGAAGCAGCTTTCCCAGATCTCCGATTGTTTTCATCAGTAATCTGTGTATCTTTTCTATATTTGAACACTTCTTTTATAGTTTCCCCCCACCCCAGGTTGAACCAGGATTAACACGGCACTTCAAGTAAGAGTAGCCATTGCAGTACTGTTTCTCACTCCATTCCTTCTGCTTAACGTTTCGTTTCAATGTCTGTCCACAATGAGATACAGGATAAACTGAATTTGCAACACAATTAGGAGAATGATTAAAAGTATTTCCTCTAGTGGATTTTTAAAAATCCGTTTCATCTGCAGCTGCGTTGCTTATTTGTCTAGCACAAGTCGCTTTCTCTCACAAGAGTCCAGCTTTCACTAATCTAAATAACTCTGGGTTTAAGGTCCAATATTTACAATTCCAATTCTCTAATTTCCACCTCTTTGCATCCTGATGAATCAGCTATCTTTTTGAGTAAGCAGTTTGAGGAAATCTGGGAAATATCATTATAAAGCTTACATGATGGTTTTCCCAACAGAGGCCCAAAGAGGACATCTCCACCAGAAGGTTCCTACCGTCTAACAGAAACCGTTTCTTTCCATCAGTACTGCCAGCAGCCTGGACCAGCAGACTTCACTGAAAGTCCCCAAGTGCCCCAGGGCACACCAGGATGCATGCCACACACTCAATACAAACAAGGTGAGACTTCTTCCCACAATACATACTCAAATGGTGGAACCTTTTGCTACAAAGTACTGCGGAAGCTACAAGATTACAGATGTTCAAGAAAGGGCTGAAATTCCTGGGGGAAAACAACAATCCATCAAGGACTCTCAGATGGAAAGACACCAGTTTTGGCTGACAAAATCCTTGAGACACAAACTGCTGAAGGTTAGAAGCACATACTGGGGAAGTACTGATACCAATATGCCCTTTTCTCAGTTTTTTTATCATAGAATCACAGAACGGTTTGGGTTGGAAGGGACCTCAAAGATCATCTAGTTCCAATCCCCCTGCCATGGGCAGGGACACCCTCCACTACACCAGGTTGCTCAAAGCCTCATCCAACCTGGCCTTGAACACTTCCAGGGATGTGGTAGCCACAACTTCTCTGGGCAATCTGTTTCAGTGCCTTACCACCCTCAATGTAAAAAACTTCTTCCTTCTATCCAGTCTAAATCTCCCCTCTTTCAGTTTAAAGCCATTGCCCCTTGTCTTATCACTACACACCCTTGTAAAAAGTCCCTCTCCAGCTTTCTTGTAGCCCCTTCGGGTACTGGAAGGCTGCTATAAGATCACCCTCGAGTCTTCTCCAGCCTGAACAACCCCAGCTCTCTCAATGCATTTGGTACTGGCTTGAGTACTTCTTTTAGGGACAGCACCATCCCACCTTTGGCAAGAGGTGTGAGACCCCTCATAGCCTTCCTTGGGAAGCAGGGAGCATCTAAGGGAAAAGAAAAAAGAAGAGAAAACAAGTGACCTCTGGGAGACTTCTCTCTGGATGATAAAAAGATCAAAAATGAAGAAATAGGGAAGACCAAAAGAGCATCTGCTGCTCCTGAGATGTCCAAGAATGTCCTTGTCCTGTCTCCTGAGATGTCCAAGGCACTGCTCGGTGAGTGGACTGGCTCTGCGGGTGGAGGCAGCCTCAGCCAGCACCAGCATCCTGCAAACCTCCCACTGCCCAGGGCTGGGGCTGCTGGCAGGGATGTTGCAGTGGGGACGGATGATGTGTGAGAAGGAGCTTTTGCCCGGCCCAGTGTGGCTCTCGCTGTGGTCAAGTGCTCAACAATACTCTTTTCCCCAGAAACCTGGGGGACTTGGACTTTGCATTAACAGTTTTCAAAAACCTGGTCACATCAATGTCCACGCTTCAGCTACAGATGCGTGACCCCTTTGTTTTCAGAAGTGATTTTTAAAGACTGTTCACATTTAGAATCATAGAATCACCAAATGGTTCAGATTGGAAGGGACCTCAAAGATCATCTAGTTCCAACCCCCCCTGCCATGGGCAGGGACACCCTCCACTACACCAGGTTGCTCAAAGCCCCATCCAACCTGGCCTTGAACACATTTCTTCATCTTCTCCCGTTCATATCACCTACCAACTCTGCAGACCTATGACAAGCCATGCACTTCAAAGTTTTCATGATATTAATTTAAGTATGCTGAAACATGCAGTTTTCTTCCATGGAAGAGTAAAACTTGAAGGGGACACATTTTAGAGCCCTTGGTACGTCCTGTGGCTCACTGCAGAGTATAGATCACCCATTGCATTGAGGGTGAAGGTAAAGTGAGGATGGCTGTCAATTTACAAAGCTTAACAAAAAATACTGTCTTTGTTTTGGACAGGTAAGTCTCTACAGTGCAAGACTGACAATCTCTTCTATTTAACACGCTCGCTGCCAAGGTAATGAACCCACGAAGGCTGATTGTTTCAGCAGGGCGTTTGCATCTGCTCCGAGGCACATGTTGAGTGACTTTCTGGTTTTAACCCACTTTCCCAGCAAAGAGATCTTCCTCACCACAGGCAGCTTTGCTTTGGACCTCACAAGAGGTCGAGCTGTAAGCAAGCAAATAAGCTTGCTTTGCAGAGACTGTTTTAAATGTACGAAACCACAGAATAACCCACTCTACAGGCCATAAGGTTATACCTACGCCCGTTTTATAAGCTGACTTCTGATGCCAACTGCCCTCCTGTACCATCTGATGGCTTGCTGGTGTATTCCCACATTTAATTTTCCCCAGATTGCCTGCAGCTGTCGGGAGGTGTAGGATCACAGCTCCGTGTTTCAGCCGATACTCACACCACCTCCGGAGCAGGGATCATCTTCTCTCTCCTCTCGACTCTTTCTGCTCTATCCCTTTTTCTCACGAGGCACCACGAATTAACACACCATCTACAGGCAGGTTTTGAACTTGCCACCCAGGCAGTCATTTCCAACAAAGGCACAACCACACTGGACTTTTATTATTTCCACTGAGCATTTGGTATTTGGAGTTTTCCTCCCATTGCATGTTTCTAGCTTCCATTTTTTTCCAACCCAATCAGCATTTTATTTGGCCTATGGATTACTATAAATTCTATCCTCATTTACCTCCCTCCTGTACTGTCCAATGTCTGCAACTTCACCCACTTTAGGATTATCTTCAAATTTAACATCTTTACACATCCTGAGTAAATGCTCTGTAAAAATATAAAACAACTCACAGTTGTTTTTTTTTTTTAAAAAAAGATAAATAAAGCAGGAGCTAAAAACTTCCCAAATGCTTAAATCCCTTATTAATCATCAACAGAAACCAGACCAAAATCACTAATATGTAACAGACCTGATATAATTCCAATAACTTGACAGCTAATTTTAATTAAAAGTAGAGCAATACAACACAGTGAAGTGCAGAAAGGACGACGACGTCCTCATGACAAGTTGACCAAAAGCCTCTGAACAAATAACTGACTTTGAATCAGGCCTACATGAGGCAGTACCAGCAACTTCCCGCTTCCAACCCAGCATATTCCGCACTACTCCCAAAGCCCCCTGGGTTCTCCTCCACACCGGAGCAGCCTTTTTCGGTGCACACCTATAAGACAGGTGAAATGTAAGCTAGCACTGGGGCATGCTTTGTTGTACACAAGTATCAAGGTCAGTGCAGAAGCACCGGAAAAACTGGGACTCTGTCAAAACCTAGCAAAGGCAAGGAGCTCAGAAAAACCCAGTGCTGCCCAGAGGTCCCTCAAAGACCCTTACGGAAAAGAGGCTGTGTAAGCTGGGTGGAGAAACAACCTTACTCTCTTAGCATGACACCTCTTTCCCATCTCACCTTTTGCTTTTTCCCACTTCCCTATTCCAGTTCCAATTTTCACCATTTTACTGATTGAACAGCTAATAACACATACATCACTGGCAGTGAAATTTTTTGTGTGTCTGGGGCCAAGTCTACTTTTGCACAGCAAATCCACAAAAGCACAGCAGATAATGCAGTCTGAAATTACTGAATCTACTGAAGAAATCATAACTACCCGAAATAGCATGATCCTAGATTTGAAAATGAAGGAAAAATTCATCAATAATGCAATAATTGTGCAATGTTAAAAGAGAAAGCGTATAGGAATTTCTAAACAATGTGTATCGTCCACGCATACTTAAAGTAGTCACAACATCCAATTATACTTTTTAACCCTGCATTATCAAATCAGACCAGTATCTTATAATTTTAATGAAATCTAAAACAATGTTTTTGAGATAGAAAAGGTCGAAGCCTTGAAATTCCCAGAATAAACAAATGGGAAGTTGCGGAAAAGTCACAGTCAAGTATTTGAATTTAGCCAGGCATATAATATCATTAAAAAGACCCAAGAGATGCTGTAGAAAGAGGGTAGTCAAACAATCATCACTGTATTTTGACTGGGGAGAAAAACAAGCAAGCAAATAAGGCAGAATTTTTCATTAAAAAAATAAGAAATTACTCCATTCTAGCTACTTTAAATTTCTGCTCTATGTCTGGTATGTTTGATACTCTCCCTAGTTCATTAATTATTTGACTTCAACTATTTCTCATCCAGATTTACTTGCCTAAGTAACTCACATATACTCGTTAACTACTTTGATTAGAGCACAATCCTTCAGATGACAGCTATTTAACCACACGTCTCGATACATGCATTGCGAGTGTGTCATTTATTTAGGCCCTGGAAATATGTGGCGACTGCATCAGCTTCACTTAATCTGTCCTTGACTTCCACTACTCAGCCCTGTTAATGCAAACAATTTCCCTTTGCAGAAGAGAACAATTTTATTCTCTGCTAAGAACTGTTGTGTCAAATAATAACTTTACTTAAAGCAGTAATTTTGACTCGAACTCCATCTGAGTCTTGCTGCCTAAGACAAGGAAGATATAACTCGACTTTTCCTCAGCACAGATCATAATTCAAGCTGGCACTGCACCGGGCTTAGTGCTCTCTTACATGACATGATCAAGTCTGAAAGCATCAGTAACAAAGTTCCTCTCTGTCCCACAGAATACAAAGAGTTCATGCCATTGTCAGAAGCTGTAAGTGGATAAACCCCTAAATAAATCCATATATGCAGACATACATCTACAGAAGCAGAGTATAAACAGCAGAAATGCTGTTCAATCTGCACGACTTGGCTATTCTTGGTCACGACCCAAAGACATCAACAAAACCCAAAGGGCTTCTCACCTGTGGCAAGTGTAACTGGAGCCCCTCGCTCGGAATGGGCTGTCGCGATGGTGTCTGGTCCAGCTGCATGTTAAACAAGGATGCCAGGGCCGACTGAGCAGCCCGAGCTTTTGCCAGCTTTTTATTCCTTCCTGAGCCTTCGAAGGTCTGACCGTCCACCGCCACGGCCATGACAAAGTTTTTGGCATGGCTCTCCCCGCTCTCCGAGAGAAACTCGTACTTCAGCCCCGGCCGCAGCTCATTGAGGATCATGACGGGGTTCTTCCCACTGGTGGAGGGGTAGGGTGATGGAACAGGGAGAGGCGACTGGGAAAGGCTGCTGGCTACGGCCGATGCCGGCAAACTGTAGTCCCCGCTAGAGCTAAAGGACCCGTCCCCATTGGACCCCAGGTAAAAGGAAACATCAGAAGGAACCGGCGTTTCGAATCCATTGAAAAGGGTATCTGGGAAGTCCGCTTGGTCGGAGGTGAAGTCCGTGTTGACCGACAGAGTCCTCCCCATTGCCAGGTGGGCTTCTGAGGCATTTGGAAACTGGACAAAAGACCGCAGAGCCTTCTCTGCGGCATGAAGCTTGGCTTTCTTTTTTGTAGGGCCAGACCCCTCAAAGACCTGCCCGTTGACTTCAACTGCCATCACGAACATGGGGGCGTGAACCGGCCCTGTCTGGGAGAGGAGTTTGTACTGTAAACCAGGTTTAATCTCATTAAGTTGCATCAGGGCATTCTTTGGCAGAACGGGGCCGGGTGTTTTCTTCCTCTTCTTCGGGCGAAATTTGGAGTGGCCATTGTTGCCCTCCTCCAAAGGACGCTTTCTGCTGCTGCCACCACCGCCGTTGGAGAGCTGAGCCCCCTCCCCAGCGCCTTGCCCACCGCTGTCCTTGGGGGGAACGTTGTCCACGTTGCGGTTCTCTTTAACATCAGTGCTGCTTGAACCTACGGTGCCCAGAAAGAGTAACTTACAATGCCTTCGTTGCAGGACCTTGTAAATGCAAAATTTATAGATTCCTTTATCTCTCTTTGTAACTGGTTAAGTGATGTGTGCTGACAGGTTAAATGTTTTGCAGTACAATCAGAGATAATCATAGCGCAACACAACCTCTCGGTAATTCAAGAAGTAACACGCTCAAGAATGATTGTAAAACTACAATCAATCATAAAGCAATAAAACGCTGCAGCTTTTTTTCTTTTTTCATTTAAATCATGCTGGAACAAAACTTTTACTCAGAAGTTACGTTTGGCCTGAAAAATGTTTTAAACCAGAAATACAAATTATAGTAGCATACACCTATGAAACAAAGAACTACCGTGAGTAAAATAAAAATGGGTGCTTAAGACCAGTACTAGGAGATGGACACTTAATTCTACTTTATTATTATTTTATTCATGTTACATTCTGTTTCTCAGTGATTCTAGTCGCTCAAATTGAGAAATGACATAAATAAACCCTGTGCCATGAAAAATTAGACAGCTCTTTGGTAGGCATCTCCACTGAAGAGTATTTGAATGCTTTTGTTTCTCTTTAGCTATTCCATATTCTCCGAATTCAATTCTTTTATAGGCTTTTCCTAGACTTTCATTTCACCTCATCTCAATTTGCTCAGGAACTACAGCTGCCCGCTGTGCCAGCATGACCACAAGACTACTTTATATATTTCCGCATAGCCTTCTATTGAGAAACCTTTTGTCATTTTTGTCATTTACAAATGTCATGTCAAATTTGTCATTTACAAGCTATTTTGTAATTCCTTGCAAAGTAAGGAAATTGTTGCCACAGAGTAACAAACTCAAAAATCATGACAAAGATCCTCTCTTATGCAGAACACAAGAAGTATGACAAAAGCTATGCAATCACAATGACGACATTTTAATGGGGGGGGAGAAAGGCATTGTAATATTAATTTAATGATTTGTTTTCTAAAGTAGAAAGTTGGGGTAATGGAATGTCAGAGGTATATTTAAAGAATTATATTTGCTTTAACTGCAAAGATCTGATTTTTACTCTGATGAAGAAACTAAGGCAATTAATTATTTGTGCTTTATATTGGTATTTGTGAATGAAAAGGCAAATTTAGTAGGTCAAGTATTTCTAACTCTTCTGTTCCAAAACTACAACATATCTCTATTACATCTACACTGACACTAGGTGACAAATATTAACTGAAATAAGAGCAAACCAAGATGAAAGCTCTCTTTCACAGTGACAAATTTCAAGCACACTTTAAGTCTTCCCTAAGAATCCCCTACCATGCACACATCACTTTGCCCAGGTTACAAAGCTGATGGAACAGTTACTAAATTTTCATTTATAACATCCTCCAGCAAAAGCTCGATAGGTTACTCCTTTCGGTGCTCGAAGAGAAAAAAAGAAGGGAAAAAAAGATCAAAAGAAAAAGCCAAAGTAGGAACATGTTTTGTTAAAGCACAGTAGCACAACAAAGAATTGTACAACACTGAACATCAAATTCCAGTCAATTAAATCTGGTCAAGAATGAAACACTAAATATTCCGAAGCATTTCATTGCTAGAAATCTGCTAAATTTAATCAAGTACCTCTTTTAGCATTCAGCCACAAATCATAGTGCCTGCAGAACGTGTGCTATAGGGTCACAACAGTCAAATACACAGCGTTTATGCATATGTATTATATATATATATGGTCAAGGAACCTAAGGACAATAGAGTGAATTTTTAAATCTTTCCTTACAGTGAGTTTCTTACCTGAAGCTGTAATCTCCAAAAAGTACATCTCATCTACAACACCATTTCTGGAACACTGGTCTTACTAGTGGCACCAAGAATTTGCTATCAAACAATATGACTTCTAGGCTAAAGATAAATTATTTAGTTAACACTAATTAATGGCCTCTGTTTTTATCTTCTTATATGAAGACTACTATCAGGGCCTATGGAAACCACAGAAGGAAAACGTGAGTTGAATAGACTCCAGCTGAACATGAAAAAAAAAGAACTTTTGCATCTCAGTACAGCAGCTGGAGGAACTCCTTAACCCATCTCATTAAAGAGGCAGGGGACACAATGCCCTGACAGAGGAAGGGGACTTGTAGGAAGCAGGAAAGAAACTTGCACGTTTACCTTGTCTCAGTAAGAAAGAAGGGAAGAAAACTACTCCTTGCCTGAGAGCTACTAGGCTTGTTAGCTTTGGAGAATCTGCAGAGTGGAAGAAACTAGGCGAGAAAGCAAGTAGGGACCTACCAGCCTGAGTCAAACCTGGAGACCATGAAATTAGGCAAGCTTCTACATCATGGAGGTGATCCAAATCTAAGCCTTGCAAGTGATGGAAAGAAAAATACTTTCCATGCAAACTGGAACGACCTGAGTTTGTTTCATTTCAGAGTCACTGGACTGCAACTGAGGCTGAGGGTGAAGATGTGCTTTTGGTCCTTTTCTTTAGCCTGTCCTGTCCAGCAGTGGTGAGGTCCTCTAATTACCTTTAGGGCTGGAGAAGAGTTGACAGATCAGTTAAAAAATAAGATTAGCTATCACCACTACTCAGAGAAGCCATCTTGTTTAATCTTGTCCATATTCAGACATGGATTAACTCCTCCAGCCCAGTCTCTCCCTGCTGTTCAGAAATGGCTCTCCCTGTTCCAGGCATCTCACTTCATTAGAGAAGTCAGGAGCAGCCTTACTAGCTCATCCTCACCTCGCCCAGCTCGCTGCCTGCAACAAGGCCACCAGCAGACCCCAAGAGAGGGGATAAAACCAGAGCAAGGGCACAGTGGCACTTGCCCAGCCCAAAGGGAGCCACAGCTCTGGGCTGTCCCAGAGAGCCTGGCAGGGAGCCACTGATGTTTTTTTTTCTTTCCCCAGGAATTTTTCCAACTGCTTTTCAAGACCCCATAAACCCCTGGTATTCACAAAGTCCTGGACAATGTGTTCCACAGCTTCATTACTCATTGCATGAAAACATCTCCCATTCCTTGAACTAGCCTCATGACATCTGTTGTTTATTATTTGCTATTTTTTTCAATTTGACGATTCCAATATTAAGCACCCTGTGCCGTGCATGATTTTACAGATATCTCTAGTATTTCAACCTTGTCATCCCTCCTCTACACCATAGTGCTCTAACTGTCCCTTGTCTTGAGGTCATCCTCTTCTCACAGCAGACCACCCACAGCTGGATGCTTTATGCATAAGCTGGACATATATTTGCTCTTTTTCTTCTATTCAGCAGTCTTTTCCATTCTGGCAATACATTGTTTTAGAGACCGTAAGACTTTTGGGAATCTCTCACTCATTCCAGAGAGAATGAGGGAGGGCATCTTCACTTCCCAAAAGCTCTGGCTGATTCAGGATCCCATCATAACTTAAGCTGGGAGCATCAATAGTTAACAGGAGCAACATTTTGTTGCTCTAAAGCAGAGGTCATGGCAGATGTGGACCACCACTCCATGCATGTTCTAAAAAAAACCAGATCATTTCAAAGTCTATTAGTCTGATTTGGAAACCACTTTTAAGCCTTGTGCTGCAAGCATCACAGCTAAAATAGGCAGGAAAATGAGAACTGTGAACGTTAAGACACTATGAGAAAGTATAAAGCATAGGAGAGAGCTGGCAGAAGAAAAAATTACCATCTGAATTATCAAAAAAACCCTTTGCATTCAGTAATGGATGCTCTTCATTATGCTTTTTTCTTTCTTATTAAATTTTTATGTGTTAACATCGTATGTCTTGCCTCAGAAAGGTTACACAGTCTTGGTGGATCTCCTAACATACCCAAAATCAAGAGGTTTAAAAATAGCTTAATCCTAGATTTTAAATATACTTTCAAGTCTACGCATTTTCCAGTCTTATAAGTTTTCAAGGAATGAATGCTTTCGAGAGCCCTTTGAGGACCATCAAAGCTGCTGTGTATTCAATACTTTAAAGTAGCATTAATATAAACACTTGACAACGGGATCCTGTTTTCTTAAACATTAATACTACATAAGATTTAAGAATAAGACATTTTTCGTAAGACTAGCTGATTTTCTAGTCACTAAAAATAGCTGACAGCTTTGACTAGAGATTTCACTGATGTCTGTAGAAGCTGCCTCGGTAAAAATCATAGCTGACAGTATCACATGCCAACAATTTCAGTGGAAGAAAAGTCTTGCCCCTGAAATCTTGTCCGAGAGCACTCGAAGAAAGAGAGAGTCATAGGAAATTTTCACGTCAGTCAAGAAAGAAATCTTCCGTCTGTGTTGGTTTATTTTTGGTTTTATTCCCTGTAAGTAAATAGTGTTTGTAATTAAGATGCTTTATCCATTGGGGAACTTCCATTACCTGCTTGCTGAGAGACAACAGCCTCCCTGCTCTGTCTGATCTGGAGCACACTTAATTAAATTTAGATGACTCTTAGCTGAACCGAAAGATGTTTCCAGCTACCTCTTATACCGCTGCTCTCATTTACTGCCCTGAGGAAATTCTAAGTCATTTTTTCATAAAAAACAGGCAGAAAAAAACACATGTGATCTCTTCTGAAAATCTTTTTAGCAATAGGGGGAAAAAGATCAAAGAGAAAGGTCAGGACAGCCACATACTGGTATCCCAAGTGTTCCTCAAAATGCCTCACTTTTCCCTTGCCCATAAGGTAATCGATGAGGATAGGCAACAGTGTGAATATACACCTAGAAAATGATTAACTTCTATTGCATCAGTGCTTCTGCTGGGTTCTCTGATTTGACGCTGAGAAAATACGTGGATGGGCTTCTGGCACAGATTCCTGGAATGTTCAGAGTGCTGTAGACATACTCTCCATTGCAAAGCAACAGAAAACCAAACAAAAACCTTCTAAAAAATCCATAAATCTTTCCCCAAATCTCTTGTAACATCTTCTCTAGGTTCAACGCACAAAGGTGGAAGACCTTAAGACCTGAAATCTGAAACACTGTCTTTTCTCAGAGATATTATTGTAACCTCATCACTCTTACATTTCAGCTGAAGAAATACAATTTTAATTCTGGCTTCTG